TGGGTTCTTCAGAAATAGACTCAACAGGTCAGTGGTCACTTCATAAGAAAAGTGTGTTATAAATTTCGCCAGCTATAGAATACAATGAAGGGCAACACAAACGCTTGCCATGTTTAATTTTTTATTTCTTTCAGTTCACAGCAACGGTTTGCTGACTGCGTCCCCAAAATACCGCGGTGAAAGCGTCTGACATCTAATGGTGTTTATAAGGATTGTTTATGCTAAGTGATTCAGAGTTCAGCAGATTCTTGAGTCACTTATTCAGCGGTCCGCAGGAAATGGCTTAAGTAAATATATTGTTGAGCAACTGTAATGCTATGTGCAAAAGTAATCTGCTATCAAATAAGTCCTACAGGGCTGTCAAGATCGTCTACTTCAAGAATGCAATGAAGCACGGTATTTCGACTTAAAGAATGTTAGTTTTGATAGGTAAATTGCGATCAAGTGTGTAGTATTGCTACACAAATAATGATGCAGAACAGATTACATATAATTGCCGTAATATTTCAGTATTAAAAGTGAACTAGTCGAACGCACGATAACCCTGACGACGCTGGTTATCGAGGCGTGTTGGTGTGTAAAAGAATTTACATCTTTCTTTTCACTTGTTGCCTTGAACAGTCGATCGAGAATCGAGGATCATTAATTGGTATTCATGCAGCCAACGAATAGTTATCTCCTGTTATGGTTATTACAAAAGTTATCGTAGCTGGCTTTCAGTTTTAAAATGTGTACAGTAATTGTATGTTACTTGTTTCGCATCATTATTGGCGTTACTGCGCCCTTCATTGTGTTTTACCGAAAGGAGACTAAGATTTGTTTAGTCGAAACATCGTACTTCATACCATTCTTGGATGCCATTATGGAGTTTACCTTATCTGGCAGCAGGCTGCTTCTGCGGACAGTTTTGTGGTCGCAAAAATTTTTTATTAATACATTTTCAAGGTACCATATCGTTACACCAATAATAATGCAAAGCGGATTACATATTGTTTGCTATGTGATTTTCAAAACTGAAAGTAAGTCAGTAGAAAAATGGTCATAATGTATTGATACTGTAAGTATAGCACTGTGACATATATGACTTTACATATGCTCTTTATTGAATTTTGAGGTATTTTACGTTGTCAGAACATATGATGTCCGTATGCATGATAGAATGCTCTACCATTACAAAACAAGATTATTGATTCTTTTCTTGCGAATGCTGCAAGATGTTCCATAACTGGTGTTTATACTTTACGCTTAGTCATGCTAGTATGTACCTTAAGGTACCCTTCTCACGGTATCGTATACGATGGTCATGCCTCCTCGACTTACTCTTCGTTTGCATCTCTTGGAGCGTTTATTACGCCGTAATGTTTCAGGGAAGCGCAACGGAAATCGGAAAATCTGATCACCATTTCAAAGCAGGAAGTTCATTTCGCCCTTCAGTCGTCTTACATGGTAAAAATTTTCGTACGGAATTTCGGCAGTAGTTATGTCTTTACTCTAAAAATTTTTTTATTAATTTTACTTTTCTTTTCGCTTTTCCGTGTGTTTGTTCCACAGGTGGAAATCCTGGTGCAGAAATTAGAGAAAAATGTATGGGTCTCATGCGATCCTCACAGCATCATCGATGCTTTGTTATTTATAGTGCACGGCATCTTTCTTTCCCCTGTTTTCCGGATACAAGTTTTTTATACAGTTTTCCAAAAATATCGCCATGACTAATACGATGGTCATTTTTGTTTCTGTAAAGATCCATTTAAGATCCACCCGTAAGTTCTTATGCCATTCTAGAAGAACGTTTCGTGTTCTTCAGCGGATCAGTGGACTTCCCTTGCTTGCTTTTTTGTCCGTTTTCATTATATCTGTAGCTTCAGCCAGCAACATAAAAGTTTAATGAATCTCGATATTGTGTAATTTTTAACGTATTTTGTGTTGGAAACTTCTCCAGTTAAGTGTTGAAAGATGGTACTTTCTTCATCTTCATTTTGTTTCAACTCATATGCTATGAAGGCCACAGGTCGTCGTTCATCCAGTCATTCTTTTTTGAGCATTTTGGTGAGTACTTGTTCCGCGGTCCAGTTGGTGTCTCACCGTGCTTCATCCAGTCCCGCGGATTAAGAGAAGTGAGACACTTCAAGAAGCGCTGGTCATGGATAGATATCATAGGTTGTTGGCAGGCAACACTCTAGTAACCTACCAGGACCGGCTCTTGCATTGCTTCCAGGTGCCTTACGAGCAGAATAACCCAATCCTGACTGCGTTGTTCTAAGTTTTGCCACAGCTATTCACGTTATTCTGTACTTCTCCGATTTTGAATCCCCGGGGTTACTGTTTCCTTGATAAAATTTCAAAAATGTGATCGTCTGCAAAGCGGTATTGAACCGGTCACAGGGAATTTTTCAATATGTGATTTAAGTAAATAGAGAAACAGACGGTTAGAGGCTTGGAAAAAATATTTAGTGAGTGAAGCTTTCGAAGCCCACAACAGTGTTCCTTCTTGAGCACAACAGAAATAACGATCAGTAGTAAATAAAGTTTCGTAACGAAGATATCCAACACTGGCAGGACTGCAACATGAAAGAAATTGAAATGATAAAAAAAATTGAGATAAATTAAAAAGAGATGAAAAATAATTTAAAGGTTATAAAGTAGAAACTAAATGTTGAGATTTAGATTCGAGCTGCATAAATAATCTTTGTTTACGTAAATGATCTTTTAATTAATCGTTTACACAGGCTGCTCTAAATCTTCCAACGAAGGTGAATTCACGTGTCATGCGACCTCCAGTATTGGTTTCACGGTCTAAGATATTCTCTTCTACCATTGCGATGTAGTTTGTCAACAGCATGTTTCGTAGTGACAGAATGTTCTTCATGTCCATAATCGAAAACTGCCATATGATCCTTTAGACGGGCTCTAACACATCTACTTGTCATAACAGTGCAGATTTTTCAATAATCTTTCCAGTCCATTTGGTTAACAGCCCAGTTTTTATGCAGGCCGTCTGCTATACAGTTCCTTAGTTTTTTACCTGCTGATCTTTGCTGTTTACGACTGCGATATCTTCTCTATGTTACTAATTGCATTGTGGGTTTCGAAATGTTTACTTATTGCATCTCTGTTTTCCAGGCTTCTAACAGCCTGTTTCGTTATCCATTATGTTTGGACTAAACAGATTCCAATATTCTTTTAGAAGATCCTAATGTAGAGGCACAAGGATGCGTCAAGGCACTTTCATGCTTTTTTGTCGATCGTTAGTAAGTTATTCGATTCACAAAATTAATTTTGACCCAAGACAAAATCTGAACCGTCTATTTCGGGCAAAACGGATTCGCAGTGATCTTTAGAGAAATACTAAAATGAAAATCAATTACTAATTACATTTGTATGGTCTACCGACACGTTTTTCTTAGATATGAGAAATACGCGATATCTACTACCTCGTGTCGTTAATTCCTTTTTAAGGTCATGATGCTTAAACCTACCACTTGAACCAGCTTCTAACCTGTTAAGAAATAGCTGCTTTCTCAGATGCAGATTTGGTTGCCTCTGACTTTCACTACCGCAAAATGGTCGGTGGCAGGTAGAATTTTTAGCCTTTGCTTAGGTCGAGTTCTAATGTTTTTAACTGTCCATTTAAAAGAACAGAATCACGAGAATCTCTGAATCGCCACTTTTTCCCATTTGTTACTGATCTGGAGGGATTCTACAGTTTGAAAAACTGGTCAACCGACCGGAAGCGCCAAGCTTGTACTTTTTTGTAAACGTATTTATACAGTAGTCACAAAGGTAATGGCAAGATATTTTAGAGGAACCGTTACCCATCGACGACATTTGCGTACTTCGTGGACCTGCTCGGCAAAAAGGTCCAGAATCCGGTCGTCCAGCGGTTCCAACACATGTTTCCACAATACACATTAGTCCCGGATCCTTTTGACGGGAGCGTTTCATTCATCGATTCGGAGTAAGGTTGGCGATTTTCTTTCGCCGTACGACTTTACCTTTGATTTAGGGGTAACACGTATTCGACCGTGGAACTGGTGGCCATGCAGTTAGCGGAAACAATGAAAATCGCCTCAAGATTTGCGGGTAATGGTGCTTAGTCTTTTTCGTCTGAACGCTCGTCTTTTCATGTATCTTGCCATTTTACACGTATTCATCTGCTGATTCCTTTTATATCTTTCTTGTTACCATATACGCACAAAATTGTCCCCTCCAGTGTTTTCAAGGTGAAAGCTTAACTAATCAAACTTTGGGTTGTCCGTAAATTAATTTCGAACTGTCATTGACTCTCCGTCTTGTCCTCCAATTTTGACAAAAATAGAATATTCAGTACAGATTTTTCGTAACCTAACCTCCATTTCCTCCTTACATTAAAAAATCATGATTCCGAATGAAACAACGAAAATGCAGTATAAAGAAAGTTGTATTTCTCACTTGTATACCAGCCAATGCACCTTGGGTTATATTTAAGCAGATCATGGCTCTATGATATTTAAGCGCCTAAGTACAAAATACTAGGCGGTGCAGTAGAGCCGCGGTAATACATTTTTCTTCTATTACACTGCATTTTCGCCGTTTCAATCCGGTATCATTACTATTTTAATGTGATGTGTTCAGCGGTGGTATCGAAAGCTCCGTAAGCTCTTATTTTTTCAATTTCTTGCAACTGAGATATCACCAAAATCAACTAGTGTAAAATAGACAAAAGGCAAAAATGAGGTTGGGTTTACCAAAATCTGTTTCGCATATTCTGCTGTTTTTTCTTACGGCCGATGAAGCATATGATTGTGATCAGGAGAACTGACCCTCGAAATTCTCCATAACTTCATGTACTGTATCCTGCGAGTGATAACGCAGCTATAAATGTCAACGAAAATGTGATTGAGTTCGGCAGGCGTTGCATTACCGTACTTTTATAGCGAAATCCATTTGGTCAACGACTTTACACTCACATCTTTTGGCAAATAATTTTACTTAGCTTGCGATGCCCAGGAGGTATTTTCGAGATTTCGAGCAGAACTGGTTATCAGTGGCGTACAGAAGTACAGGCGGTATGCAAGTTATGTATAAATCGATTCATGTATGCGCGAACTGCCAGTTTTTTAAGTGTTCGCTAAAATGACATAACGAACAACGCCTTTCGGTAAGTTGATTTATCTATAGATCCTCACCGAGATATTCGTCCATGTGCAACCGAGGTGTTTTACGGCAGTGTGCTTCTGCTGGAGGTAATAACGTGAACTAGCGCAGTTGGTATGCACGGTTCTGGAATTGGTTCAGTAAAGAAACTAGCGATGGACTATCCGACGTTCATTAAAAGACCATTTTTATCCAACCAATGAAACCCCTTCTATACCATCAGCAAAAGTGCGACAGATCATCTAGCGTTCAGACTGATGCAAGAATTGCCGCGTCATCGATGTGTTTTACACTGGCGGTGGTGTTTTAATGGATCCTCAGCAATTAGGTCGGCATTTTTCATTCGAGTTCGATCCCCGGTCAAGTTTTACCCACCTTTCTTCCTTCTGATTTTGATTAACGAGTTCCATTCTCTGGAAAGAAAGCAGAAGACTACACACACCGCAACGCTTACAACGTGGCTGCTGCTGTAGATTCTGCCTTTAAAACAAATTCGTTTTTGTTTATGACTTGGAAACGGAGATCAGTCACTACCATTAACTTGATGAAAAGAAGCCGGCCAGAATTGGTTCTATCGTGCAATTTTGTGAAAGACCGATATTTTAGCGGTTGCAAATATTCCTTCCTTTTCCTGCAGGTAATGCAAAGAACGAGCAATGGAAGCAACACACTGAATCCATGCGCAACTTGGCGATTAGTCAGACTGGCTGTTAAATCATTACTGGCCACGATCCATTGTAATTTATGCCGTCTCTGAAAAAGTAACTGATATTTTTCATTATCATTTTCTGCTAATGACAATTTTAAGTCTTAATTGTTTGAAGTTCCACTCGTCATAGAAATCTCAGAGAGATCCTGATTTGCTGTGTTTCTTTGTCAGGTTTACTAGTACGTACTCTTTTTTTGACTGACATTTTTGACTTTGCAGAAGAACCGGTGACCGATGCGATCATAACGGTGCCCCCGTACTTTAATCAAGTCGAACGATCAGCAATGATGAGGGCAGCCGATCTCGCTGGGATCAATCTCATATCGCTGATGAACGATAACACTGCCGGTGAGTCTGCGATTATTCATTTATTCTAGCATTAAAACGAGATTCCCATTTTCGGTAAACTATGTAATCCTGTAGTTACTCTCGCTTGACCAAGCAACATTTCGAGCAGATAGGCAATGGTCTTTATCCGATAACAAAAATACCTTACTGAATGACGTCCAGAAAAATGAAACCCGATTTTATGGGTTTACTAGCATACTGCTAGTTTTTGATACGGGATTGAAGCGGTTAAGTAGAGGCCACTTGCTTCCAGCGGCCTAGGTGCCCTTTTTACCGCCCACGACTGCGTGGTATTTGAGCACCTACAGTGCATGGCTGGAAAACCGCATCACTAGGCAGGGCTGAACAAGAGCTTGTTCAGATACCTGCAAATATGCCACGATCCGTTGGCATATTTATACAGAAAAATTAAATCCATTGAAATTATATAAATCTTTTTAGTTTTTGATACCGGATCACGACTGCCTAGTGATGCGATTTTGCGTCCCGAGCCAAGCCTGTTTAAAAGAGCCTCTAGGTCGCTAGAAGCAAGTGGCCGGTGCTTGCTCCGCTTCAGTCCAGTATCAAAAAGGAAAAAGGATTGAACGACGTCCAGTTCATCGAAAAGATATTTTTTAAGAACACATCTTCTGTTCGTGTTGCTAATCGTAGGATTCTGAGTAGTAGCGGTATTCAGTAATACGATGTGGCATCAGATTGACAAGTATTTAATGGGCGTTTTCGATTGTGTCGCACATTAGAGTCCCTGTGAAGATATTCTTTGGCTGCTGTTGAACTGAGAAGGCACGCTTATGGTTCATGCGGGGTTTTCAGTATTTATTAATTCTGTGTATGAAGATATTTGTTTTACCTTATGACACAGGAATAAAAAATTGCGCTATTTATTATTATTTTTGTAGAATGCAAGCGACGACTCTGTAGTTGTATGAACTAGGTGGATATGGGATAAATTAATTTTTTCACATCTCAGCTTTTGTCGCTCGGACGTTGAAGTTCCTTGTTGGCGTAACTACGAGAGTATAGGTACAAAGGGGGTGTAGAGAGCAGTCGCGTTTTCAGAACGAAGTGAGCAATAGTTAACTATATTTTCTATAAGCCGTTCATTCGATTGCCTCTGTGGCTGCACAGCCTGGAGTGAAATCAATTCCGGCGATGCAGGCCGCTGGGGAAGCGCGGTTCTAAATGCAAAGAATTCTTCGGCCGCGTGCTTAAATTGGTCTTGAACCGATTATGGCGTCAAACCTAAATTCAGATGTTCTACTGCGAATATAATGAATATAGTGATTTCCATTGTTGCCGATGGAAATAATGGTGGAACAATTTTAAATCTTCAATCAGCGCTTGCTCTACGGTGTCTCCAAGAAATGTCGGAAGCTATACTGCCGTTGCATATAAGGAAATCCTTATTTTCTTCGGTACGAAACAAATCGGATTGGTTGAACTTGGCAGAAAAAAGACGAAAATTTGTACCTTTTTGGATTTCGGTTTTATACTTTTATGACTTAAAGCCACTTGTATCACAGTCCTTTTTTAAACGAAGTTTATGGTATAGCACTGATCGCCATTTCCGTCCGCAGTATCTTTTTTTAAAGCCAATCAACAGCTGTGTCAAGCATGGCGTATACTCTTCTGTTACCTCCCACAGAGAGGTATTCATTTAATAACCTCGGAAGAAAAATGGCCAATTGATCCCACAGACTAAACAATTCGGTTTTTCGGATTTCATAGACCGATTTCGTAGACCCTCTAACTCCTTGACTATGTATTCTTCATGTTATGGATCGAGCGCATGTTTTCTACTGTTGCTTGCGACAGTCGCATAAATGCTACAACCACTTCTTCAAAAGCTGGTGGATGGCATTTTAATATTTTTATCTTTCTCCATAGCTTATGCTACCTGCGCTTTTGCGACATCAGTGGCATGGTTATGTTCCTCCATGAGACAGTTCAAGCCTTCGTTGGAAGTATACGGTCTCGCAGCTTTTATTCTTCTGAACATGGTCGTATTTTTGAAACCGTTTTCACCAGGTTCTTTGCCTTTAATTAGAAGGTTCGCTGAATGGAACATTTTCTAGTTGTCTTTTGTACTCTAGGTACCTTTTACGGGTAATCCATTGTAGCTCCAGATTACTACCACGTATTTGCCGTAACAACCATGCTCTCAACCATGGCTGCAGTGTGAAACAGCGCTCGATTATATGTACCACAAATAGGTGACAGCTTGTCATTGATGTGCAGATAATGAGCAGATTCATGTGAATGCATATAAACACGTGTCATGGCATATCTGCCTACCACATACCGCGTTTTACGTCATAGTATGAAGTCGTCCCGTAATGTGTTGTGCGAAATTGCGTTTAGCATCTTTTCGTGTGAAATTTTTTCCTGTGATACTCTTGTTTTACACACTGTTTATGTGTCTGATCAGTTCGTTGTTTTTTAGCCGGCGTGAATTTTGGAATGTTTCGACGCAAGGAATTCACTGAGAAACAACTTAACGTTTTGATTTATGATATGGGTTCTTGGAAGACGACCGCCACGGTTTTCAGTAAGTGGACAGTTATGAAGAGTA